TCCCTTGCACTCAGTGCCTCTGCTGGATTGATAGCTATCCCCGCTGCCTGCTTCTCTGCAAACTCACTCTTTGGAGAGAAGCAGGGTTCCCTCTCCTCAGGAGGGATAGAGAGTGAGAGAGCGACGTCAGCATCGCGCCTGGCATTGGGAGAAGGGCAGGCAGGGGGGATAGCCATCAATCCAGCAGAGGCAGCGAGCGAGCGAGGGGGAAGAGAGCGAGCCGCTTGGGCTGGTTAAGAAGCACAGGAACACACGCGCGCGCACACACAGGTTCTCTCTCCTCAGGAGAGAGAGAGACTTTGCAGAGGGAGATAGCCATCAATCCAGCAGAGGCAGCGAGCGCGGGGGAGGAGAGCGGGCGCTCGGGCTGGCTGGTTGGTTAATGGCTTTCGTATATGTGTGTGCTTTTTCATATGTATGTGTGTACATGTGCGTGTTGCTCGGCTCCAGAACTATCAGATTAAACTTGAATCGAGGGGAGAAGATTATTATTAAAACAAAGGGAGCCCCTCAGTTAAGTTGAAGCCTGGCAGTGGGAGACAAGCAGCGCTGGAGGAGCCCAGCAGCAGCTGCTGCTGCTTCGGGCGCCCTGCTCTAGCGCAGGGCAGCTGCTCGCCTCCCTCGCCTTGACCCAAAACAGGAAGTGATTTTTTCTATCCGGCATACTAGACGACCCCCAAGTTCAGCAATGATTTTCGAGGGTTAAAAAGTCGTCTATTACCCCGGAATTTACGGTACATTTTAAATATTCATCTATTAAACAGGATTTGCTAGTTTAAACTTCTAGCTTAAGTTTTATTGAATCAATAGATGTGCTCTAAACAAAGACTAAAATTTGATTTATCCCTAACTAAAATACTCAGCTTCTCTCTAATACCCTTTATTGATAGAAGAAAAAGTATTAATTTCAGATGTTTGTTCAGAGACCAAAATCAGGTTATCATTCATATTCACTGCAGGTGGCACTATTGAGCTACCTTAAAACACCGTAGCAGACCTTCGTTACTATTAGAGGAAATATCTTAACTTTGGTTCATTCAAATTGTGAAATATATTTGAGATTACAAAATAGATGAATTTAGGAAATAAGACTTGGCTTTCCATATAAATGGATTCTGCATCCATGGATTCAATAACCTATAGCTTAAAAATACCACAGGCAACCACAAAAAGAAACCAAAAAGCAAATCTTGATTTTCCCCTTTATATGAGAGATATAATTTTACCATACCATTGAGACTTGAGCATCTATAGATTTTGGTATCCATGACAAGATGGCTAGAACCAAATTCCAGAAAATACCTATAACCCACCGTACAGAACGGTGTGTTGATGAAAGGTTTTGACAAAAAGAAGTTAGCCACTTAGAATATTAAGATAATATTAAAAATAATGTGTGCTAGCATATACCCTGATAAACATACCTATAGGCATATGGTATTACTGTGGCAGCTGCAAAACAAAACAATGCATGTGTCTGAAATAATCATAAGAATGCACAGCTCTATTGCTAAAGATGAATTTCTGCCTGTCAATTTATATGGTTTTCCTACATCTGTCAACTAAATCATATTTGACATTATCCCACTAGTTAGGCTTGTGTGCGGATGCGTTTTCCTTCAGCCAATCCATTTTCTTTGGCTTGATTGGATGGCCGTAACAGCTCCTCCTCCCCTTTTCGGAAGCACATGGTGTGCAAAGAGGTCACCTTTTGAGCCCTGCCTGTTGGGCCAGTTGGAGTAGAAGAAAGCTGTGACATGCCTTATGCAGGCTGTGTCTATTTAATGGGCGACTGCCTCCATTGCTGTTGGTTACGTCCTCATGCTTCAGTCCGATTGCCTTGCCGTGCCACCTCTCAGCTTGATTTTTTTGGCTTGGCTTGGCCTTTCTCTTTGGAATCTTTTTTATTTTCCTTTATTTTCTTGAGTTTTTTTGTTTAGTGGGACTGACTGGAATTTGGGGATGTATGGGATGGATGGGTGGGGTTCATGGCACACAGGAGAAAGAAAGAACATCTCTTTCTCTTTGCTCTTGCGGTGTGCTTTTCTTTAGAAATATTTGTGTGGCTCTGAGAGCCTTGAGTCACCCTTTAGCTTCTTTTAGCTTCTTTCTATTCCTCTCCTCACCTCCTTCAGAAAATACTTTGAAAAGATAATAATAATAATTATTATTAAAACACAAAGAAAACTCTCATTCTTAGAAAACTACTATCATATGTTAAGCCGCCTTGAATCTCCTTCGGGACAGAGAAAGGAGAGATACAAATAGAGTAAGTAAGTAAATAAATAAATATGGTTATCACTGGGAGCCCCCGGTGGTGCAGCGGGTTGAAGTGCTGAGCTGCTGAACTTACTGATTAAAAGGTTGCAGGTTCGAATCCGGGGAGCATTGCGAGCTCCTGCTGTTAGCTCCAGCTTCTGCCTACCTAGTTTGAAAACATGCCATTGTGAGTAGATCAATAGGTACCGATTCTGCGGGAAGATGGCGCTCCATGCAGTCATGCCGGCCACATGACCTTGGAGGGGTCTATGGACAAAGCCAGCTCTTTGTCTTAGAAATGCAGATGAGTACCAACCCCCAGAGTTGGACACAACTGGACTTAATGTCAGGAGAAAACATTTACCTTTACCTTACCTCCCTACCCTAACCCTAACCCTAACCCTAACCCTAAAAATGACAGGAAAGGGAGCCTGGGAACCCCCCTCATTGCTGCCAATGGGTATGCAGAAAGAGATATGGGGGTCTACCAGTATTTTGCCAGTAGAAATGGATCAGGGTTCAGCCATAATGCATAAGCCTTGTACCAGTGTCAAGGGAAATGCAGTGCTAATAAATTCAGTGCATCACATAGGAACGCAGTTAAATATTTATACACTTGTATGGAAACCACATCCCGTGCTTTGGAATTTATCACAACAGCCTGTTGTCTTATTGTAATTGCATTATTTAACTAACCGGAAACATACCATTATTAGAACAACCCTTTGCTCACCAAACTACAATTCTGCAATGTTGGCACATTGTTGATGTAAATTCCCACAATCAGTCTTCCACATAGCCTTTCTTCCTACCTGTGTTGATCCTGCACAGTAGATGCACCCTGTGGTTTTCTTTAAATTTTCCTTTTCTCTCCATTTGGCTGCAAATGTGCAGTAGCATACTCTCAGCATTCCCATGAATTTTTTTCTCTGATTTCAATATTGGGATAAGAAATTATCACACAAGAAAGAGAAACCAAAGAATAGCAATACTGAATTCATTGCTGTGTTTTCCCCATCAACGAAAAGAGACAATCCAGTCATAATTCAACACAGTTCAATTATGGGAGAGACTCAGTGCTTCTGTAATTGCACTCTGTTTGCCTTATGTGATCAAATCCTGAGTCAGAGAGAGAACCATATCCTACAGTTAGATGAATATTTATTCAAGATTGTATCAGTTCTATGTTTCACTTTAGCTACTATGATTATAGATGAATAAATAAAACATCTTTAAACAGATAATTTGCTTGATGAATTTTACATTGTCTTACAGCCAAGTACTTTCATAATCTTCATGTATAACTGAGCTTGCATGTACTGTTACTGGAGTATGTGTTTCTGTTTATCATACATATAATACTTATCTGGAAAGAACTGAGTGATACAGTTGGGCTGCAGGAAGACAGGGGAACTGACTTTGCTGAGGCCAATGGGAAGGAACCCAGGGTCAATGGTTGTGATGTATCTGCTGCAATATTGTATATGAGGAAGTGGGCCCAGAGTATCTACAGGTTGTCGACATCAGTGAACATCTTTAGGTCATGGGGAAAGGCTATCTCTATGGGCCACAGGGCCTGGAGGGAGCAGATGGCGACTATCCTTAGACCTGGAGGTTCTGCATCCACTTTAAGTCTTTATGTGATTAATTTGCAGTAGAAACTGAGAAGTGATGTGATTTCTATCTCTAAATATCTGAGGGGAAGATGAAGTAAGCATATTTTCCCTGCTCCAGCAATTACAACATGAAATAATGGCTTCAATTGATTCAAACTGACAAGAAAATACATTTAGTGTAACTAGATTATTATTTAGTGTAACTAGATTATAGTGTATTATTGTTGTATTGATTTCCTGTTTTGCCCTTTTGTAAACTGTTTTTATATGTTGTGCACCGCCGCGAGTCGCCCTAGGGCTGAGAGCGGCGGTCAATAAATGCAGTAAATAAATAAAATAATAAATAAATTTAACCTAAATATTAGGCTTTTCTGTAAGGGCAGGTCAGCAGTTGAACAGATTGATTCTTTAGAAGTTTAGTGGTAGAAACACCTCCTTTGAAGGTTTTTAACCAGAGGCTGGATGGCCGTTTCTCAGAAGGGCTTTAGTTGTATACTTCTGCATGGCAGGGGTTGGACCAGATAATCCTGTGATCTCTTTTAGATCTACAATTCTGTAAGTGAGCATTTTTTTCTAGTTTTCCTATGGATTCTATTGGGGGCTCATCAGTTTCTTATGCATTCTTACGTAATGGCCACAGACATTTTTTTAGTGTGAGGCTCAGCTTCACCATGTCTGACTCATAGGAAGAACTCCCCACTTCCCAATAGGGTCTGGTTCTGTAATGACATCACGCCCAGGGAATCCATGAATCTATCTGTCCTGCTCTCTCAGCCAGTTTTGCCAGACCATTTCAAGGTTGTCAGCCTCCCATTTTTAGGCTTAGCCAGTGCTTGAGCCTCTCCATGCTTTAGTCTCTGATAGAAAGTATTTTAATCTCCATTTTGCTATGGTTAGCTAACTTCAAGTTATGATAACCCTATGAATGGAATACTTCCAAGTAAGTTATCCTCAATAGTCCTGCCCAGATCTAACAGGCTTAGGGCTGCGGTTTTCCTCTCTAAGTCTATCCATCCGGAATGTGGTCTTTCTATTTTCCTACTAGCCTCCACCTTATGTGGGAACCTATCATTACTCTATTTCTGCCTATAGTATCAAAATTCCTGTTAATGTCATAATACTTAGGAAAACATCTACTTACTAAACCAGTGTACACCTGTCTGTGAATCTTCCCATTGAAGGTACGTATCCTGCTATTCCCCTAGCCCTGAAGAGTAGATTTCAGTATGGAACAGAGAGAGAGAGAGGACTACGTGGGTGAGTCTCATTGCAAATTCAGAACTCCAATCACACTTCCTTGGAGCCAAAGCATTGTGCAATGTGTAATACTTTTGATGACAGTATGACTTGTTGATTCATTGCCATTTGTCTTGTCATTTCTCATTGCAGCTTTGATCTCGTCATGGTATTAAAAGGTCTCCAGTGATAAGTAACCTCCTTCCTGGTAAAGTTAATAAGGGAAGTCATCTGAAATGCTACCTCCTTGAAACTGAGGGCCCTTCCACACAGTCCTATATCCCAGAATATCAAGGCAGAAAAATCTCACAATATCTGCTTTGAACTGGGTTATCTGGGTCCACACTCAGATAATGTGGGATTTTCTGCCTTGATATTCTGGGATATAGGGGCAGTGTGTAAAGGAGTTGCTCTGAGAACATGGGCAGCCACCATGTTGTCATTTACTAAATCAGGAACATCATGTAATTTTCTGGTACGATGCAGGGCATTGCCCAATGGATTCCCCTGCTGCCCCATGAATTCACCCGTGATGGATTCCCCTGCTGTCTCTCAGTTTAAGGACATCCATGTAATGAGGTCCCTAGTGAGGAGACCTTCTTCTTGATGAATCATCTATAGTTGGGTATTACTGACAGGATTGTTTCCTTTTCTTCATTTATTTTTTAAATTTCAAATTCAATTTATAATTCTAGTCTGCTTTACTTAGCAAGATGCACCACATGCAAAGGTTGTTTTGTATTGTGCAAATTCTATATAATTTTCTGATATCTTGAAATATTATTGTAAAACAGATATCTTTGAAAAGCTTTACAACAAATATAATGACTAATGGGGATAATAAATAACATAGCTAAGTAAGGCCCTTCCACAGAGCTATATAAATTCCACATTTAACTGGATTATCTGGCAGTGTGGACTCAGGTAATCCAGTTCAAATCAGATTTTGTGGATTATCTGCCTTGATATTCTGGGTTATAAGACTATGTGGAAGGGCTGTAACTTTCCAAGGCCTAGAAAGACTAGAACAAAAATTCTATTTTCAAAATGCATAAGCAACCTTAAACATTTGTTCCTTTTCAAGAGAATTGTCAACTCGCAATATTCATTTTAGATTTTCATGATTTGTATCCTTATTTCTGAGTACATATTCTAGTTATGTGCAATATTTACCAGTGGGAAAAAAGGTGGTGTTCCACTAGTATTTCTGCAACTGCTAAGTGCAGATATGTTGTAATATCTGGACTTAGCAGTTGCCAAATAGCCCTTGTGTAACTACAAATGCAATGATTTAGTAATGAATTGCAGAATTGTTTTGAAAACAGAATCAAAATACTGGATTTGGGCCTTTCACAAGTTTTAATAATAGTCCAAACTGCCAGAAGCATCTGTTTGCTCTTCATCAGATATAAATTTGTAAGGTAAAGGTAAAGGTTTTCCCCTTGACATTAAGTCTGGTCATGTCCAACTATGGGGGGTGGTGCTCATCTCTGAAGAGCCAGCATTGTCCGTAGACACCTCCAAGGTCTATTTTCCCACTGGAACGGTACCTATTGATCAACTCACATTTGCATGTTTTCAAACTGCTAGGTTGGCAGAAGCTGGGTCTAACACCACGAGCTCATCCTGCTCCCCAGATTCGAACTGCTGACCTTTCATCATTCCTGATAAAACATGATCCCAAAACTCTCGCTTTTAAGACAGACAGTACTCCAGCTGAAGGGTTTCAAAAGATTGCAAATTGAGATGCTAGGAAATTGAGTCAGTGAACACATTGAGACAAGCGGCTGAGGCAGGACTCTATGGCGCCTTCCACACTGCCCCTATATCCCAGGATCTGATCCCAGAATATCTGCTTTGAACTGGATTATATGAGTCTCCATTGCTAGATAAACTGGGATAAGCAGATAATCTGGGATCAGATCTTGGGATCTAGTGGCAGTGAGGAAGGGGCCTGAGGCCCCTTCTAGGCTGCTTTTACACTGCTATATAAAATCCAGGTTATCTTCTTTGAATTGGATTATATGACAGTGTAAACTCACAAAATCCAGTTCAAAGGAGATAATGTGGAGGGACCTCCTCATTCCTGTCTCAGTGCATCCCCAAGTTGGACTGGACTTCAGCCATCACTTTCTAGCCCCCTGATGTGCAGTGCCCTGGAAACCTTTTAGTTGGGATAATAAGAGCTAGGCTTTGAGAAGGTGGCATTGGTAGATGTACCTGTAACAATGGAATTCTTTCAACATAACTAGAAGCACCCACTGTCTTTTAATTGCTCACTTTCTGATGGTTCATTCTTTCAACACTTTCAAATTACAGAAGTGTTTTGAAGACTGCTCTTTTGGTAGCAGGCTTTAGCACTCCCCCAGACTGTTATTGGGTCAGAAGCACTTTAGCCCATCTCTGTTAGTCTAAGGTAGAGTGTAGAGAGGCATTGCTGCCATCAGATGGCATATATCACATTGGAGGAAAGACACATAAATGCACTTCTAGGTTGTAGGTCATATTATTGGCTCCTGTGATATTGCTAGCAGAGAAGTGTGCACAGGGTTGGCATCTGGGTTTGTGATCGTGTCTTGTTCATGTATTATCATTCACATTATTCTATACTAAATAAGTAGTAATTTATAATTTGTAGGCTGTATGTAAGCCAATAAAGGCACAAATCCTTGAAAAAATATCCCAGTTGCTCCCAGGATTGAGACTTGTCTGGAAGGGCTTTAAAAGGCTAATGAAATAATACATAATTATGAAGTAAGGTTAATGAATGACATCATTAGATGCCATGAAATACTTAGCAGAAATTATCCTCTAAGTATTGTTTGGGACCTCCTACAATCCTTATTTGCAACAAGGATTTGTGTGGGTTGTGATGTAGGGGAGGCTATTGGATCATTATTAGGTAAGTACACAATTAAGATAGAAATTATCAATTGATCTGTTTTATTCTCCCACTTGTGTGCATGCGTGCTCCCTCACATCAGTATATATATTATATATGACAGAGCTGAGGAAAGATTAAGAATGAAGTATGTTTTTCATGACTCAGACCATATTTTTACACAGTGTTTCTGAAATTAAATGGAAGTTTTGTTCATCTGGCAAACCTAAAGTAAACCTAACACTTTTCACAGCTAAGTGGAGATTCAAATTCAACTTTCTAGAGTTGTAGTCCAACACTGAAACCATTTCACCCTGCATCATTTTCCCATTTTAATCCATACCTGATGGAACATAATCTATATAAATAAAATTGTAATGTTTGTTTGTGGGATTAACATAACTCAAAAACCACTGGACGAATTGCCGCCAAATTTTGCCAATGGAATTGAACCAAACGTGGCACACAGGACTCCCACGATCAACATAAAACACTAGAAGGTTTGGTGGGCATTGACCTTGAGTTTCAGAGTTGCAGTTCACCTACATCCAGAGAGCACTGTGGACTCAAACAATGATGGATCTGGACCAAACTTGGCATGAACATTCCATATGCCCATTCACTCAGACTCAGCCGCCCCCCCCCCAAAAAAAAAATCAAACTCAGCCCCTCCCGAAACAAAACCCTGGCTACGGGCCTGAGAAGGGCAATTATATGTTGCATGTTCCAGAGTAGGCAAACCAATCTCCACATCAACACTGACAAAGAAACAACAAGAAATATTGTTAACCCACAAGCATAAAGAAATAACCTATGTTAGAAACCAACGCTTTCGCATTATATTGTCAAAGGCTTTCATGGCCGGAATCACTGGGTTGTTGTAGATTTTTTCGGGCTATATGGCCATGTTCTAGAGGCATTCTCTCCTAACGTTTCGCCTGCATCTATGGCAAGCATCCTCAGAGGTAGTGAGGTCTGTTGGAACTAGGAAAATGGGTTTATATATCTGTGGAATGACCAGGGTGGGACAAAGAATTCTTGTCTGCTGGAGCTAGGTGTGAATGTTTCAACTGACCACCTTGATTAGCATTTGATGGCCTGGCAGTGCCTGGGGCAATCTTTTGTTGAGAGGTGATTTGATGTCCCTGATTGTTTACCCTCTGTTTTTTTGCTGTTGTAATTTTAGAGTTATTTTTAATACTGGTAGCCAGATTTTGTTCATTTTCATGGTTTCCTCCTTTCTGTTGAAATTGTCCACATGCTTTCTCATTACTTTTCCAAATCACCAGACTGGGCCACAGCAATTCGTGGCAGGGGACAGCTAGTAATGAATAAAATTACAATTTATAACCATTAATGAAAAGGAAATATAGTTTTAAATTAATGTCTAACTCAATTGTTTGCTTATTTTTTATTACTTTGTCATATATATTGTTTTAGCTACTTTGTTTTAACTGGCATTATAAGCAGCTTTGGGTCCCATACTGAAGAAAAACCAAGATGTAAAATAAATGAATAAATACCACATCAAAATATTTCTGCATGATTAAATTGCAGTTAATTTTGAGACAGATATACACCTAATACATTTCCTAACAACCTGAAGTAACTATAGAGAAAGATAATTTATGGGTCACTATTTGTTATTGTTGTTGTTTTGGGGTTTTGAGGAGGTTGGTATTAGTCTGTTGTAGCAAAAACAGTGAAGAGCTGTGTGGTACCTAAAAGGCTAACAAGCCTTGTTGATATATGTTTTCAGGAACTGCATCCCACTTAATTAGTTGTATGACAAATAAATCTTATTAATTCACATGGCGCCGCAAGACTCGTCATCACTGAATGCAGATCTTAATTATGCAATTAAAATAAACTATAAACTAGCCTTCTGTTGTCATATGAATATGTTTCCATTATTAGGAAGTTTTCCATATTATCTCCCTGTTATATTGTAGGCAGTCTACCATATACACTTTCCACAACTACTATATAAGAAAAAAGTGATAGTGCTAAAGTAAACATTTTTACTCAGGAAAAAAGTTATTACATCCAGCATGGCATGGGTGCTTTATTTCCAGCATGGAAGAAATGTCTTCTGTTTTCTTTCCACTGCAGACATCCTGAAAACTAGGTCTGGAGGTTTTCCCAGTCAGGAATACTTTCAATTGAGTATTTTCCAGAGTCTTGCAGAAGTGGAAGGAGGCTCCTCTCAATTATCCTAGATGTATCTCATGCCATCCTACCTATGAGAACATAAATGTTAGTACTTTCCGTAAGCTATACATGTGACCATATTTCAATATAGAAGTAATTATGCAATAACTTTAAATAATGCCTGTGTAACCTTATTAGAAACAGCTTCTGGAATTGGGACACAGAGATAATAGTTGTAATGCAAATCAGATTATTATATTGAGGGATGTTTTGTTTTTGAGACCTGATGAAACCTGATTCCACTACACTGTTCTTTCACTATGATGATGACTGAATAAAACAAGGACACTAGGAAAAAATCTGTGTCAAATCTATTTTCTCCAAAGATGTATGTCCATATGTTATTATATAAATTTATTTTAAAATATTGTATTGTTTACGTGTTGTTGTTTTAAATTGTACATTGCTTTTAATTGCTTTTAATTGCTGTAAACCGCAATGAGTCGCCGATTTAGGCTGAGATATTAGCGGTATACAAGTGTATTAAATAAATAAATAAATAAATATTTTTCCTAATATAGCACCAAAGTAGCTCACAATTAGAGTTGCAAGGCCAAACAGATGGAAGAGTAAATGTGCCTTTATTGCTATCCCTTTCAACCTTAAACTTTCAGCTGCAGACATTCCCTCTTTCTTGCCTTCAGTGTGGAGAGTAAGGCGGGGGGGGGGGGGGGGGGGGGGGGTACAGCTATGATGGTGACAGTAACAGAGTTTGGTGCTTCTCTACTCCTCTTTCAGACTTTCGTCTTTAAGATAGTCTGAACCTGAGCTATCTGGGGCATTTAGAAGACAAAGTAGGGAACGTTTATATTGCACATACTAACTCAACTATTGGAAGGAAGATATTTCAGGTTACTGGAAAATTACTTTTGGATATTAGGGAAGGGCACCTTCAGCTCAATGTGTAGCAAGTCATCTCCAATCAGTTGAAAGCACTTCTTGGTCATACTTAAATAACAAATAGTATATCTTCGTCTGATGTTAGATACGTATGTTCCCAATGTGGGATTGGCATTTGATGGCTCTGTTATTACACTGTGAACACAACTGACATTAATAGGCAATCAACAATGATGCAAATTAAGAAAATTCCCTAATGCAGTTGTCATTGCTCCTAAAAATAGAGAGAGAGAACTCATAATGTCTCAATACTGTTCTGAATATTAAGATATTAATATTAACCCTATACATTCCAGGTCAGTAATGTAAGATAGTACTACAAAATCTTGTGTGCCTGTAGTATTTTTATGCACCATCTCACATGTTCTTATTTGTGTAAGGAAAGGTCAAAATGTCACACAGGTTGAGTATTCCTGATTTGAAATGTTTGCAACCAGAACTGTTTTGGATTTTTTTTTCAGATTTCAAATACTTGTATTTGCATATAACTACATAATGAGATATTTTGTAGATGGGATCCAAGTTTAAACAACAAAATTCATATACATTTTCTACACATAGCCCAAAGGCAATTTTAACATTTTAATTCATTTTGTGTTTCAAACAAGGTTTCTGTACATCAAATTGCCAGAAAGCAAAGTTATCACTATTTCAGCCAGAAATGTGGCTTTGTTAAAGTATTTTGGAAATGTTTTTGTTGTTGTTTATTCATTCAGTCGCTTCTGACCCTTCATGACCTCATGGACCAGCCCACGCTAGAGCTCCCTGTCAGCCGTGGGAACACCCAGTTCCTTCAAAGTCAAGCCAGTCACTTCAAGGATACCATCCATCCATTTTGCCCTTGGTTGGCCCGTCATCCTTTTTCCTTCCATTTTCCCCAGCATCATTGTCTTCTCTAAGCTTTCCTGTCTTCTCATTATGTGCCTCTAATATCCTTCCTTCCAGTGAGCAGTCGGGCTTTATTTCCTGAAGTATGGAAAGGTTGGATCTTCTCATGGTCCAAGGCACTCTCAGAATTTTCCTCCAACACCAGGGGCACAGACAGCAAAGCAAATGCCATAGGGGTGATAAATATGCTATCCAGATATATATATCTGGAGTCACACTTAAAAATGTACCTGTTCTTTCTTATATACAAATTCACCTTAAGGACAAACCTATGGAACCAATCTTGTTCGCAATTTGGGGACTGTCTGTACTGTTATTATCATCAGCATGAAATGTGTTTATATGATATTTTTTCAAGCAGGTATTATAGATATCTTTTTCCTAAAAAGTATAAAGTATTACATTAAGAATGAAAAACAACCACCAGTAAAACATCCATATTTACGTAGAAAACTTCTTCCATTCCATTTCACCTTTAGAAGAAGAAAATAGATCTGTATAGAAATGTTAAATGCTTAAAGCAATTGAATTTTAAATTTTATGAAAACAGCAGTAATACAAGAAAGTACAGATGACTAGACATCAGACTCATGGAGTCTTTTTTCTGCCAATCTGAGATCCACCAACCATGGGTGCAAAAGACCTATATTTTCAATACAAGAATTCTGAAGCTCCTCTTTGTTTTTTGGTGCTTTCCCCTTCATCATGCTCCATTTTCATTTCAGTGACATAATGGGGGTCTGAAGTGGGATTATTAAACAATTGGGTATCTACTTCAGATTATCCATATCTACCAGTAGATCCTTATATAGTGATTTCACCTAAGATTGTGGTTAAGAAAGTATATGCCCAGTGACCTTCTGCTAAACCTGATCAGCCAGAACAGAGGTTTTTTACAATCTGGCCAAAAAGGATGCAAGTCCCAGGGTACTATTCAAAATGTATAAGCACAACTTTATAGCAAAGTACAATGCATTTTAAGCAACTTTGACAGCTATTCAGACTTCCCGCATCTCCTCCTGATTTGCTGACAAATGGGCTAACTAGGATCCATGGACAGGCTGGCTGAAGGGTTCGTTTTTGTCATAGACAGGAGGAGGGCATCCCCATGGCAGGAAGAAGAAAAGCTGATAATTAGTTGGTTTATAGGTCCAGTCTATTGCAGAGATGCTCTCATGGAGGGCCAAAACTGAAAACAATTATGATGTGGGTATACAGATGATGTCTTGATTGATTTATGTTTCCAGTTCCAAGAGGTCAAAGGTGCAAGACCTGAAAAAAAAGTGATATTTTTGGGTAACCAAAGGCTCAGCTGCCCTTTCAGAAAGCTAATATATTCATCTTTGATTTAGCCTTCTCTTCCATTGGAACTATAAATCTCCTGTCATAATTAAACAAGTAAACAATATAAATACCACCCTGTTTATTTATTTATTTATCGTGTCAGGAGCAAACCAAACAGTTGTATTGCATTAAAAACAAACAAACAAACAAACAAAACACAAAGTTTGCAAACTTGGTAGTTGACTAAATGTCCTTTGACCAGTAGCTGGCCACGGAGTGCCTCTATTGTTGCTGCAAGAAGGTCCTCCATTGTGCATGTGACAGGGCTCAGGTTGCATTGCAGTAGGTGGTCTGTGGTTTGCTCTTCTCCACACTCGCATGTCGTGGATTCCACTTTGTAGCCCCATTTCTTAAGGTTGGCTCTGCACATCTCATGGTGCCAGAGCGCAGTGTTCAGCGCCTTCCAAGTTGTCCAGTTTTCTGTGTGCCCAGGAGGGAGTCTCTCATTTGGTATCAGCCATTGATTGAGGTTCTGGGTTTTAGCCTGCCACTTTTGGACTCTCGCTTGCTGAGGTGTTCCAGCAAGCGTCTCTGTAGATATTAGAAAACTATTTCTTGATTTAAGGCATTGGTGTGCTGGCTGATACCCAAACAGGGGGGTGGGCTGGAGATGTCACTGCCTTGGTCCTTTCACTATTTATTGGTTGCTACTTCCCGGCAGATGTGAGGTGGTGCAATACCAGCCAAACAGTGTATTTTCTCCAGTGGTATAGGGTGCAGATACTCCGTGATAATGCGGCATGTCTCATTAAGAGCCACATCCACTGTTTTAGCGTGGTGAGATGTGTTCCACACTGGGCATGCATACTCAGCAGCAAAGTAGCATAGCGCAAAGGCAGATGTCTTCACTGTATATGTACTACCCTGATGATAAAGGAATAATCTCTCACATATATACACAAAGAAACTGATATTACCTAGTTTGTGAGATTTCTGGAGGGACCTCTTAATGGCTGAGAAATCTCTTTTCCTAGAAGCTTATTAAAATAGGGGGCATCGGAGAAACCGATGCCTTCACAACATATTTGATACCACTGTATACATTTAGGAATTGATACAGAATACAATCAATACAAATTACACAAGAATATAATTTAATAAATTTATTAAGGCGTTTGATTTCAATATAGTGCAGGGTACAGTTGCTCCTGGATCCTCCCAGAGCCTCCAGCGGCTTCAGAACAGCATAAACTCGAAGCGGCAGAAGTTCAAAAGGTTTTAAAAATAAAGAGAATATTGTATATCTTGCTTGAAGTCTTTTAAAGATCCAGATTAATTTGGGAGAGGGTGTGCTGTGGCTCAAGAACACTAATGTACTTCTTCCCACTTCTACAGCAAGGCAGTAAAAATTGGTTTAGTATTTAAATAATGAAGCAGACCTTGCCACATAGTTTATTCAAGGTAATCAGACATCTTTTGCATGGTTAGGATTATAAAATCTTTCCAGCAGAGCTCTTATTATGCATCCCGGCTTCCTTTGATGTTTGTCTATTAAGTACTGCAGAGCAATCTTTGTCTGTTAAGATAAGAAAAAAGCACAATTCAAGCTTTCTTTATGTTGAAGTTCTCTTTCAACCTAAGACTCTCACTCAACAGAATTGGAGTGTTCTGATTCTGCTTTAACTGCAGTCATTCTGTCCTCTGAAATCCTAGAATTTTCAGTTTAGGGAAGGATATTTAGACTTCTAGTGCAGCAGAATTGATTTGAGCATTGGTTTATGCTGCTAATCCCCACTCAGCCATGGAATCCCACTGGGTAATTTAGGCCCCCTCTATGCTACAATATTCTGGAATAAGGAAATGTATAAAAAAACAGAAGTTCCCAGCTGATGTGGTAGGGCCATGGACAGAGTTATGGATTAGAAGCTGAGAAGGATCATTTTTTCTCATAGAGCTTAATGCTAAAAAGTATATTCTATTAATATACCTAATCATTTTGAGCTATGTTTTAAAGAAGTAAAAGAAGTGTGAAAGGGTAGGTTAAGGACAGGGATCATTTTTCAATTTGGTGCTTACAAAAATAATAATGATATGTTTCAGATTCAGGTAACTTAAAGGACTGTATTCTATCATATAAATTTACCCTAATTTTAAGTTCTCTGGGAAAAACTTTTCATCTTACCATTTGGTCTCAAGAGAGAATTACATCCTTCTTTCTTTGATGGAAAGGTAAAGAGTTTGGTGGAAGTCTGTTTCCCTCCCACCTTTTTTTCCAGAAGGCACTACAAATTGAAAATCCGTAATCCAAAATGCATGGGACCCAAAGTGCATTAGATTGTGGATTTTTCTTTTTCAGAATTTGCAATAAGCTGTATGTCCACATACATAATGCAATATCTCAGAGATGGAATCCAAGTAATTCATTCATGTTTTGTGTATATCTTACACACAGTCTGAAGGTAATTTTAGGTAATATTTTTCTTATTTTTGTTTTAAACTAAATTTGAACACATTCTTCCAGCCAATCACATGAACAATTTCAGGTTTTGGAGTACTGCAGACTTTAAAATTCTGGATCAGGGATGCTTAACCTGTAATAGCATCCTCTATAAAAGCTCAATTTGACAGAAATTACTCTTCTTTTTCAGTAATCCCCTCCATTTTCAATAGAGAGCAGTAGTTTCTTTATCCTTCCAAGAAGACTATAACAGAGGAATATTGTTTTCACCTTTTGAGAAAACCTTGCTCGGATGTTCAGAAGTATAGACAAAGAGAAACAAAATAATGTTTGTTTGCTTTGTTAGGAAGCCAAGCAGAACATTGTGAACTCCTGAATTTTTTTCCAGATGATCCTGGCATAACTTTGTTCTACTGTCCAAATAATTAGAAGTAATAGCTCAAGTCCTGACCAAACACTGTGCAAGTTTTTCTTAACATGTCATTACCAGAAATGCTGGTGTGCTGGAACTGAATTTTTGGTTAGGTATTTGTGTTTTTACACACTAATTGTTTCTGTATATAACACTTGTACCCATTCCCCATTTAAAGCATTATGTAGTTTATATTTCACTAGCCATCCCCTGCCACGCATTGCTGTGGCCCAGTCTAGTGATCTGGAAAATAAAGTAATGAGAAAGGTTGGTTTCTAATATATGTAATTTTTTTATGCTTGTTGTTTTTCTTGTCAGTGTTGATATAGAGAATGTCTGGTTTGCCTACTCTGAAACATGCAACATATAATTGCCCTTCTTTAGGGATCCCTTTCAAATCTATGATACTATATCTGTCATATACATGCACATATACATATATATATACATATGTGTGTGTGTGATATATATATATATTTATATATATATATATGATACTATATCTGTCATATACATGCACATATACATATATATATATACATATGTGTGTGTGTGTGATATATATATATATATATATATATATATATATATATATATATATATAGCTAGATGGCTCTTTGTCAGGAGGGTTTTGATTATATTTTCTTGCCCTGGAGAAGGGATTTGGACTGGATGGCCTTAAGGCAGGATTTCTCAACCAGGGGGTTAGGACCCCTGGGGGGGGGCATTGCGAGGGGGTGTCAGAAGGGTCACTGAAAACACAGTATTTTCTGTTGGTCATGGGGGGTTCTGTGTAGGAAGTTTGGCCCAACTCTATTGTTAGTGGAGTTTAGAATGCTCTTTGATTGTAGGTGAACTATAAATCCCATTAACTACAACTCCAAAATATACCAAGGTCTATTTCTCCTAAACTCCATCTGTGTTCATATTTGGGCATATGGAGTATTCGTGCCAAGTTTGGTCTAGATCCTTCATTGTTTGAGTCCACAGTGTTCTCTGGATGTAGGTAAACTACAACTCTAAAACTCAAGGTCGATGCCCACCAAACCCTTCTATCCCTTTCTCTTGGTCATGGGAGCCCTGTGTGCCAAATTTGGTTCAATTTCATCATTGGTGGACTTCAGAATGTTCTTTGATTGTAGGTTAACTATAGATCTCAGCAACTTCCACTACAAAAAAAATATCAATTTTTGAGTGWTGGTCACTCCTTGGGTTAGTAGGTATCCTGTGCCCAAATTTGGTGGCAATTAGTCCAGCAGATTTTTCATTATGATGTCACTCAAAATGAACAGAGCATTTATAGATAGATAGATAGATAGATAGATAGATAGATAGATAGATAGATAGATAGATTGATAGATTGATAGATTGATAGATTGATAGATAGATTTGTGTGTGTGTGGGGGGGGGGGGTTCAGTCACAGCAGGTAACTTTTTTGTTATTATTGGCTAGCATTAGCACTGCAAGCAGCCTTGGAGGATTGTGTCTCCTACAAAATTGGGAAAATTTCATGTAAATATCATTTCAGAGGTGTGTAGGAAATTTCACAATGATTTTGACCTTCTCTAGATCATTTTTAGGCCCAGTTGAGGTTGCCTTTTTCACCAAGAAGTAATCTAGAAGTAGACTTTGGACCATTTCTATAGGATCAAAATCCTTCTTCTTATAAACATATGCCAAAATTGCCTCCCCATTCCCTAGAGAGCATTTGAGAATCCCTGAGGGCAAAAGGTAATATCAAATAGCAAAGGGATTTCAATTTTTTAAAGGAATGTGAAGCCATCAGAAGCAATCACTTGTGGCCAAGTATGATTGTCCTGGAATATCAAGTATCAGTGGGATCTGAATTTTCAGGTATAAATTAGCTTACCTTTTTGGCTAGCTCTTCAACAGTTATATTTGGGTCGTATGGAATAGGCTCTCCTATATATGTACGCCATTTAACTGGCCACCCACCATATATAAAAACAAATGGCACTCGAAGAGATTCATATAGTTTTCGCAATACTCCTATGTGAAATAAAAGTGAAATGACACATCAGCATGCACCTCACAGCTTTCAAGTTCATGTTTACAGGAAGAAAATTCTAAAGTGCAATAACATCATCAAAAATAGATCCTGGACTTGCATGGGCTTTATCGAATGAAGGCAGCAAACTGGCATTGGAGCAGGGCTGTCACCTTTTTTGATGGTTCCTATCACATGATACAATTGCATCCCATTGCCGATCTGCCTATTCTCCATGATAAACCAATTCTCTGCCCTAACATCTGGGCTCCATGCAGTCATGCCAGCCACATGACCTTGGAGGCATCTACAAACAACACCGGCTCTTTGACTTAGAAATGGAGATGAGCACCACCTCGCTGGAGTTGGACAAGACTAAACTTAATGTCAAGGGGAAGCCTTTAGCTTAACATCCGGGCGTTGCCTGGACAGCATCCATGCAGACAGTCAATTCTCTCACACTAGAAGTAACTTGCAGTTTCTCAAGTCACTCCTGACATGAAAAGAAACCCAGGAAGAGCAAATCACAGCATGCTCCCATCACCTAACTGAGATGATTGTACCATTTAAGCTGGAGGCAAAATTGCCTCCAGAACATGGCCATATAGCCCGGAAAAACCTACAACAACCCATGTACCATTCTACTTTTGTGATGAAATGCTGGCACTGATGTCAGTCAATGGGATTCTCCTCTTCTCCTTCCTCCCTCTCCTTATTTTTGAGAAAGATTTGGTTGTTTTCAATTATATTTGAATTGTAAATATAACATATTTACAAAATTGCTCATAAATTGCAAAATTGCTCATAAAATGTATTTTAAAATTATGGAGTAGTCTAACTGCAGGAACAGTTATCAAAATATATCTTCCTTCCCATATACCCCAGAAATTCAAATACAAAGACATATTGCCATCCTGACTATTAATGTTTCTAACCTCTACAAATGTATCCAAGCCCCTTTTAAAGCCAACCATGCTTACAGTCATCATTGCACAGTGTGATACTGAATCCCAGAATATAACTATGTCAAAAAATAGTTCCTTTCCATGGCCCTGAATCTCCTGCTTTAATTTCAATTGGTGATTCCAGATTTTAGCATTATGAAAAATAAAGAGAAATTAACCCCTGTTCATTTTCTCCATGACATACACAATTATATACATTTTATCGTCTTTATTCCTGTTGGCAGACGCGTCTGAAATGTAACATTTCTGCATAAGGCCTTGCTGTTTTTTGATTATTTTGGGTGACTGTTCCATATCATTTCCAGCCCTACAATATTATTATTCCAAGGCCAGAATGTAGATGGAATTCCAGTATGATATTGGTAATCTTATTATTAATTTGTTTTCAATATGATACAGTGGGTTAGGAGCCCAGGATACCTGTTAATGTGGGAAAACTGCAAACAAATTAATTCTGAGATAGTATATTTCTAGGAGTCTTTTGGTCCTCCAGAACAATTGTATGGTCAACCTCTGTCAATATGGAGGTCTTTTACTGTTTAATAGGATAAGATGGCTTATTTAATTAAACAAAATTGATTGAGATTCTGTATCATCAGCTTTCTCCCTCCTCCCTATGACTTCCCCTCACATATTTATACATGGTCATCATGTCTCCTCTCAACCTTCTCTTCTGTAGACTAAACATGACCAGCTCTTTAAGCCACTCCACATAGGACTTAAATTTTAGCCATCCTTCTTTGGACACATTCTAGCTTGTCAATATCTCCCTTCAACTGCAGTGCTCACAATTAGATACAGTGTGATTCCAGGTGTGGTCTGACCAAGGCAGAATAGAGGGGTAGCATGACTTCCCTGGATCTAGACACTATACTCCTATTTATGCAGGCCAAAATCCCCTTTTTTTAAGCTGCCGCATCACATTGTTGGCTCATGTTTAACTTGTTGTCCATGAGGACTCCAAGATCTTTTTCACATGTACTGCTCTCGAGCCAGGCATTGTCCCCCATTCTGTATCTTTGCATTTCATTTTTTCTGCCTAAGTGGAGTTTCTTGCATTTGTCCCTGTTGAACTTCATTTTGTTAGTTTTGGCCCATTTCACTAATCTGTTTTTATAATCATGATTTTATAGCTATACTTTGTTTTCATCTATGTAATCAGCCTCTTGGATGCCATGTTAGGAAAGAGGTGGAATATAATTAACAGGAAGGACGAGTATAACTAAAAGAAAATATGCACAATACATTTATTCTAAGCTACAACAGTAAAAAGAACCAATGTCTATGTTAAAATGAGATGAAGGGATAAATGGACACATTTTATTTGACAAAACCGTTGCATAATGTAAAGACTTTAAAATAAAATTACAACTTTTTTTGGAAGTCCTTGGGACCTGGTCAAAAACTACTTTAAGAAATTAAAGATAGTCTCAATGATATAACTAACAAACTCTCACAAGCAGACTAGAAACCACAGGGATGCTTAGATTAATGTTGTACCACGCCCCCTTGGGAGGCTGACTATTATGATTCTACAACCACCGGAGATTAGATAGAAGTCAAAACGTCCACGCCTTCCTTTTTTCTCTCTCTCTCTCTTTAATTGTTCCCTTTTCCCAATCTCTCTCTTTTTCCAAACTTTCCTATCCAAAAAAATTTGTTCTCACTCTTTTGATGTTCTATCCTTTAATTACCTATGTTAAAATTCAATAAAACGTTAATACAAAAAAAATAAAAAAAATAAAATAAAATTACGACGTTGAAAGTGAAATAAAATAGAATACAGTATCTTGCAGAATGTTAAATTACCATAGCAACAATTTATTTTAAAATTTGGAGAAAGTACACTTATATTAAGAAGAGAAATAGAAAATCCATGTTACCTATTTTTCCACTGGTCCTGTACCCTTCACGAACATTCTGTGTAAACATAGGAATTATGGGCTAAGTAAGGAGAGGAAAAATATGAGGTTAGTGCATGGGAGAAATTGCTACCCCAATTTAAATTTTACAATACTTGTTTAAAAGGGACTGAAGAAAAATGTAAACTAGTTAAAATATGCTTAAATATTGGAGAAGTTTCTCTATTGCTTATGTGGTAGTTAGACAGAATAATAAAACATATTTCCCCCATAAACATATACTGTCTGTGTACAGAACAGCACAGGATGAATCTAAACTGTGCTCTAAGTTCTTCAGGGAAGGATTTTCCTGAAGAACTGTGCCTGAGGAGAGGGGCTTCTCAATGGCTGTTTCCAGAGTTTGGACTGAACATCCTCCTCTTTGAACCTCAACTGCAGCTAAATAGACCTCATTTGCCCAATATGGCCGTTAAGATGGTCTTAGGAGAATTGAGCCAGCATTTCTTACTTACAACCGCATAAGAAAGGCTGCTGGAATGGCCACACATTGTGGTGAATCCAGCAGTACCCATTCGGATGTGTGGAATCCGTTGCCCCACACCCCACATTGTCCAACTCACCTGAATCCCCATCCCAAATGGATAAGCATCAGCCGTCCAGCTTCCCCCATTAACTTCTATTCAACACAGAAAGCCTCCTGTGTTGCCACCACGATGGCATGCAATGTTTTGACTCTACTTTTATGATGAAGCCCCACTGGAAGTTGTTTAACATCATGGAATGGGAACCAGTGGGTTCATCATAAAATCAGAGGTGAACCTGTGCATGCTGCCAAAAAGGAGCTTATGTGATGAGGTTGCAAGTTGCACATACATAACTAAGGACATAACTATACTAGAACAACTAATCGATGGTGTTCCTTCAGTGCAGAATGGCAGCCATTTACCAGCATTATGATGGGCAACATTTCACATCTACTACTATTGCACTACTGAAATGCCCTGACTCTACCCTCTCACTATACACCATACTTTTTTGTTTTGAGTTTTTAAAAGGCATTTCACAATATGTGATCAAAATACATGTTGTTTTCTGCAGGAGAGAGGAGAGGCTACCACTTCAGAAGTTCCTAGATTTTATCACATGAGGTATGTCCTGGTACTTTTGCATAATAATCAGAGCCTATTAATTGGCTTTGAATGTTAATAGCTCCTAATAATTGCTTCATTATAGGAAGGTAGCAGACTCACAATGGATATCACACAATGGATATTGCTATTGTGCCACATTTCACATCTGTGTAATAAAGTCCTAAGTAGCTAGTATAGAATAGCTGTGATAAATACCAACAACAACCTACACAGGGGAAAGGAAGAAAAATATCACTGCATACACTGCAAGAGAAGAAAAGCAATATGATGATGGGAAAGAAGTTGAAACTCATGCAAACTGGATTTTAAAAAAAAGACCCACATTACCCCTTTGATGACTTGTGTGAATAAATGAAAATCTTCCAAAAGAGAAGGCAGCTGAAATAGAAGTGTACTTTTAAAGGAAAAAAAAATGAAGAGTTATATAAAAATAAGTAGGTTGTGAGCAACAGCAGCTTGGGAGCACTGGAACAACAGTTTCATATGGAACAGAGGAAAGGACTCTCAAAAGAGGAAAAACAGTAAATAAACAGCAAATTCAGGGGAAGGAGAACAATAGAAAGCTATGAGTTGTTGTGGATATAACTAAGAAAAAATAATCAATATAGAAACAACACACTAAAAAAGAAATCCAGATTTATTATAAATCTGCTGTAGGGGCCTGTCATCAATACTTGCAAAGCCACAAAAACAATTGGAAAAAGAAATCAGGTGTTATAAAGCGTTAGAGAAATATTTTATCATTAATATAAATATTTTATCATCAAGACAATGATAAAATGCCTAATTTCCATCTCATGGTACAACCATTTTTTAAAAAATCTATGCATATTTCTTACTAACCACTTTTGCATCTAGAGCAATCTGTGCAAAACCTTTTCGTTTGCCCCATATCATTGTATAGGTTTCATCACTGAAGAGGGCTTCTCGCATTCCTCCTGGTGAAATAGCCAACAAGTGACCTTCCTTCAGAGTACAAAGACATTCATCCTTTGTACCAGTTGTCATTTTCAAGATCTCGTACATATTCTTCAGGCCTACATGAAAAGCAGTTTTAAAATACCTATTAAATGCAATATTACAATATAGTCTGCCCTCAACATTTGCAAGATCCCCCTGATGGTGGAAAAAAACATGAATATTTTAAGCCTCCCAGACATGCATACTACAATTGTATTAATTGAATATTTTCCTGTAAAATACAACACAAATTCCATATAAATTCCCTCAAGAAATGTTCTGAATATAAAAATGCAAAACCACATAATTCTGAGAATACAAGAAATAAAATTAATTACATCATCATCATCATCATTTGTATTCCCCACTTTATCTCCCCAAAGGGGATTCAAAGTGGCTTTACATAAAAACATTGGTATCCAATTTAAAATATACAAATATCCAAACATTAAAACAGAATTAAACACAAACAGTATTTAAAAATTCAGTTAAAATCCATCAAATATATTCAAAGTTAAAAACCATAGCATCCCCTGACTAGATTTTAAACACCTTTATCTTTAAATTCCTGCTTAATAGAAAAGGTTTTAGCCTTCTGCCAGAAGGACAGCAGGGAAGGGGCCATTCTGACTTCCCTGTGCAGGGAGTTCCAGAGTTGTGAGGAAGTCACTGAGAAGGCCCGCCCTCTCATTCGCACCAACTGAGCTTGATATAGAAATGGGACCAAGAAAAGGGCCTCTCCTGAAGATCTCAGGGCCTAGAATCATAGAATCAAAGAGTTGGAAGAGACCTCATGGGCCATCCAGTCCAACCCCCTGCCAAGAAGCAGGAATGTTGCATTCAAATCAAATAGGGATATGGGCAGGTGGGTGATGCAGGGCATGGAGCAACGGGTTGTGATGAATCCCAGCCTTAATGTGATGAGGTTCTTACAATTCAGGGGTGAAAAGGCATTGGCAGTCTAATGCAGGAAGAAGCATGAACTTTAAGAAAATGTACTTTGGGTGATCTGGTCATCTTGCATCAATGCATATGCCCAATCCCTATGAATATTTTTCCTTTTTCTTCTTTTCCCTTTCCTTTTAAGCCCCTCCCCATGTATTTATACTGTAAAGAACCAATAAAATGCCTTCCAGCTTTGTGGCTAGAGGATTTGAGGAACTGAGATATGGAAATGTCTTATGGTGAACATAAAAACAAATTAACATAGAATTATACTCAATTAACAACAGAGGGAAACCGGCCAGCAGACACTTACCCTGCAGAGGATTTGAGGAACTGAGATATGGAAATGTCTTATGGTGAACATAAAACCAAATTAACATAGAATTATACTCAATTAAAAGTATCATCAACTACAGATTTTATTTTAGAAACTGCAGTTATTTTGTTCTTATGAATCTTAAAGAAAACCAAATTAATAGTTATCAGACATTTCAATCTTAGGGTTGACTGGCAGTTATTTTTTATTAATAACAGCAGAAAGTTTAAATGTGAGGGAAAGAGTTCATGTGAATAGGGTTTACTTGGCGGTTGCTTGGTAATTTATCATTGCATTTGAATGACTGCAAAGGTATATCCAATATACGTTTGTGAAATGCTATTACCAGCATATTGTTGTGTGCCAGGGAGATTAGCTAAACTTGTTATAAATGGTCAGGAAATGTATATTTCTTCTGATGCAAGTCTGTTTGAATACTGGCATGTATGCATCAATAGAATCCGGTGTCCGTTTTATTTTAGGTTCAGTTTTTGAACTCTCAAGGGGTACTATGAGACACTACTGTGACATTTTGTTTTTGTTCATTGATATGTGATTATTGTCTGTGTTATATCATTTATTGTATTTATTTGTTTTGTTGTGAGCCACCACAAGTCCCTTCTGGGAGAGGGTGCGAGATATAATTGATGATGATGATGATGATTCACCAACTGTTATGATACAAAAAGGACTTTTAAAAGTACTGTTCTTGTTATAATTGGGTTAAGATGGGGAAAGTGCATATATATTCCTGAAAGTGTCCTGGAGAAAAAGACAATAATTAAGCATATAAATAATTTAATAAATAAATATTACCTGGCATTTTAAAGGCAAAGCGATCAACCACTGAATAACACATTTTCTTCTCCAAAAGATATAACTTTGCTATAAATAAGATATAGTCCAAGGGAATTGCTGCATGGTAATAAATTATGAGTCCTGGTCCATTTGGTATATTTTCTATGCCATGTAGTTCATAACCTGTTTTAAATGGAAAGTAAAACAGTGTCACTAATGAAGATGAGGAATCAGAGAATAATAGAATCATTGAGTTGGAGGAAATCTCATGGGCCATCCAGTCTAACCCCCTGGCAAGAAACAGGAAAATCTCATTCAAAGCACCCCCGACAGATGGCTATCCAGCCTCTGTTTAAAAACCTCCAAAGAAGGAACCTCCACCACACTTTGCGGCAGAGAATCAAAAGCACTTCAGCAAAGGGGTCTACCATGTTTGATTAAGCTTGGCCATTAAATATTTCATTGCATATGTCAGTTGCGACATCTCAGTCCACCATTATATCACAATCATATTTATATGTATTCACAAACACAGATATTGCGCATTTGACAAACACATTGAATTTATATTTAATTGTAACAGGTTATTCCATTGGTTTTGAAATTCTTTCCCCAAACTTACTGTATACTTTCTGCCATCTTCCTAAATCTATGTTTATGTTTTAATTTCCAGTAGTTACATACTAATATTTAAGCCAAATGTAATTCATTTTTCTGGTAATTTTAGGCATCATGTAAGCCTTAACTACTTTGGTAATCATGATATTGATAGAAGCTTCTCCATGTAAATACTGTTGCAATTCAGATGTTAGTTCAATATGCTGTGGGACATCAAGATTAGATCTTCAAAGTAACACATTAGGGACATGGCTGTTGCTCACATTACTTTTCCCAACAGTGAAGAGCAAAAACTTGGATATTAAGAAATACAAGTATAATTCGATCCACAATTAATGGTTTTTTCCCCACTATACATTCTCACAACAGAAGCCCACCAGTACTATACAATTATATTATATTCTAAAATTCTGCAGTTGTTATTGAATTCTAAGATTTGCAATTCATAGTTGAGCATTTAGAATTCTTAGCCAGCTACCTCTTGTGCCTATTCTGTTCACATGCCAATAATGTATAGCTCTTTAGTAACTGAATGGAGCAGAATCTGGCTGGACAGTATGTGTTATGTCAATAGAAAGACAATGCTTATGAAAGTCACTAGAAACGTCTAAAACTTCTTTTAAATGTGAAATTAGAACTTTGGGGAAAATAGCTAAATAAGACAGGAATATATCTGTCAGATATAGTCCAGGCAGTGGTTAAACTCGAGAGGAATACTAATAATATGAAGCTGTGTCTAGATCAGGGATCCTCAAACTTTTTAAACAGAGGGTCAGGTCACAGTCCCTCAAACTGTTGGAGGGCCGGATTATAATTTGGAAAAAAAATGAATTAATTCCTATGCACATTGCACATATCATATTTTTCGTGCAAAAAACACTTTAAAACAATGCAGTAATTAAAATGAAGAACAATTTTAACAAATATAAACTTATTAGCATTTCAATGGGAAGTGTGGACCTACTTTTGGCTGATGAGATAGGATTGTTGTTGTTGTTATTGTTGTTTTTATTTATTTATTATTTATTTCGGTCATTTCTACCCCGCCCTTCTCACCCCCTAGGGGGACTCAGGGCGGCTTACATCCGGCACAATTCGATGCCAACAGTTACAATAAAATGTAATAGCAATAACACAATAGATTAAAAACAGCAATTAATACAGTACAATACAATACAATACAATACAATACAATATCAACTTTGTTGTTGTTGTGTGCTTTCAAGTTGTTTCAGACTTACGTTGACCCTGAGTGAGGGCTGGGTAAATGACCTTGGAGGGTCGTATCCGGCCCCCGGGCCTTAGTTTGGGAAACCCTGGTCTAGATAAATGGTTATAGGTAGGGCATGGATTAGTGCACATTTCTGTGCCCTTAAATACTAGGCTTGTACATTGGGAGTTTTAATACTATCATCACTTCTGGATGTTGTAATGGGGTACACCCTTCACCAGCTTTAGTTGGCATGAAATTGTTGTAATCTACTTAAAGAGATTTTACACTGTCATTAAATAGGTTCAGGAGGATGACAATATTGTATTAGATAAATTGAGCCATACCTTTTCTAAAGGAATAGAAATAAGTGCCAGTCCTTTTACTCACTAGATTACCTAACTGGAAAGTGCTGATTCCTAGTGTCCAAAATGTGTTGACACAACTGTTAATGGAAACTCTGCCGTAGCCATAAAGTTTTTGGGAATAGTGGAGTGATATGGTGTTTGTTTGTTTGTTTGTTTGAGAATGCTTTCTTCTCCTTTCTTAGAGAAGTGAAGATTTTAATCTTCCAGGAAGAAGCATACTGGTTCATGTCTGCATCTTATTTTATTTGTTGCAGCTAATATAATTGATATGGCTAGACACAGTATTCTATTTTAGCTTTTGCTGTATAAACAGAGACTCGTACAAAATAAGTAAAGTGGGATCCCATTGATTATAAATGGAATGAACACAGGTATCTCTATTCAACTTGAGGTTTTTTACATTAATATATACTAAATAATGTTTAATCATTTCTTACTAGAATGATTCCCAAGAACCAAGATGTACTGAAGATTACCAAGATGTTATCTACACCATGAGGAGCAACTTGAAAAACTGCAAGTCGCTTCTAGTGTGAGATTTGGCTGTCTGCAAGGATGTTGCCCAGGGGATACCCAGATGTTTTTGATGTTATATCATCCTTGTGGGAGGCTTCTCTCATGTCCCCACATGGAGAGCTGAAGCTGACAGAAGGAGCTCATCCGTGCTCTCCCCGGATTCGAACCTCTGACTTGTCAGTTATCAGTCCTGCTGGCACAAGTGTTTAACCCACTGCTCTACTGGGGGCTTCATGAGGATAAAGACATGAGAATCATGTCCGTTTTTGATCATTTGTTGTTCATCAAAAACACAGTAGGTGAGCATTTTCTTCCCTTACATTCACATATATTTTTAGAGGATGCTCTTGAGGGATGAGAGTCATTAATCAGTTTGGTAGATCAAGCATGGAAAGTTACTTTTTTTAGACTATAATGCTCAGAATCTGAAAACAGCAACTAAAAAGGAACTCTTTCAAACTCTGTAAATAATAGATTATGATGGATCAACTGTTGCAATAATGATTGCAATTCAAGAAAGAAGTTTCTGTGGTTGGTGTAAGGCCAAGAGCCTAATTACACACTGCATTTGACCAAGCAATATTTATTATAAAACGTTTTCTAATCCTAATCCTGACATGCAAAAGAATTGTGAGATAAAGTGCTTGTGTTACACTGGTTCATCAGAGGACATTCAGGGGAAATATCATAAATGGGTGTATACGTTAGACCACACCTTGGTATTTTGTCCTTACACTTCATTTTAAAAAATGAGAATGCAATCCTAACTGGCCAAGATGGCTAAAGCCAGCTAGGCCGATTTCATGTGTGTTTTCCATGCATGTCCACTGGCTTCCATTCCACAATTTCTTGGGGTTTTTAGACCTATTTAAACATTCCTTTTTATGATGAAGGGTGACACATTCTCTGTGCTACAATTTCCATCAGCCATTAGGCTGGGGTATGGGGAAATTATGTAAAGATCACTCCTATGCTTGTAGAAGTTCTGCAAGCAACTTGGAAAATGAGTACAGGCAATCCCCGAGTTACAAACATCCAACTTACGTATGACTCCTAGTTACAAACATGGATGAGTCAACAGGAAGTGAGAGGAAATCTACCCCTAGGAAGAGAAATTCACTCCTGTAAGAGTTATCATGGAAAATGGGTATCTCCACTGAACCTTTATCATTAATCCTTGTTTCCACAACAACTCAAAATTTTCAAAATCCAATTGTCACAGGGACAGAAAGTGAGGGGAAATCTTCTGAGCAGTGGCAAAGACAGCAAAACAAATGTTACATGCTACTCAAAACACACAGATATATGGCTGGAGTTACACTTAAAAAGGTACCTGTTCCAACTTACATACAAATTCAGCTTAAGAACAAACCTACAGGACCTATCTTGATTGTAACCTGGGAACTACATTCATTCAAAATTGTGTTGAAAGCTTCTGCAGATAGGAGAGAAATACCTCTAGATAAAATCATGGTCTATGAGAGAAGAAAAAATCAAGGGCTCGAATCTGGATTATTATTTTTTTGTGATACATGTCTTATTATTGCTCATAAAAAGACATAAAGGCACCTAGAAAATTCTTTATATCAATTTGAGAAGAAAAAAAAGTTCTAGTATATGCTTTTGTAGATTGTCCATTTTATCAGTTGCAACTTTGGACTATATCTATGAAAACATATTTCATAATTTCTTCTTCCTGGTTAGTCTCAAATGTGGTACTGGATTCTTTTATGCCTTTAGAGCAAAACAGACTAACAGAAGTATTTCTTAAAATATTATAGCTGGAGACCTTCCATTATTCCCATCGTTCATATATGTAGCACATATGTGCATATAGCAAGATACAACCAAGGGACATGAAACAGCACACTTTGATAAAGCTACAAGCTTGGTAGATAAAGGGAATGCTATGGATGTAGAATATCTTGATTTCAGTAAGGCCTTTAACAAAGTTCCCTGTGGTATTTTTGAAACTAGTAAAATGTGGGCTAGACAACACTACTATTAGGTGGATTTGTAATTGATTGATTAACCAAGACTAAAGGGTGCTCATCAATGGCTTCTCTTCATCCTGGAGATAAATAACCATTGAGGAGCCATGGGGTTCTGTCCTGGGCCCAGTGCTATTCAACATCTTTATATATCACTTGAATGATGGGATGGGGGAATGCTTATCTAATTTGCAGATCACACCACATTTGATGGGGGAATAGCTAATACCACAGTACAGAATCGTGATTCAAATGGTAAAAGGTTTGGAAGTCAAACCCACTGAAGAGCTTAGGAAGTTGGATATGTTTAGTCGAGAGAAGAGAAGGTTAAGGCCATGACAATTATGTTTAAACATTTGAAAGTATGCTATCTTGCAGCAAGCTTCTGCTCTGCTGTTTCAGAGTCTTGGACTGCATGCAGACTGTAGAATTAATGCAGTTTGGTACCACTGTAATTGTCATAGCTCAAGGCTATAGAATTCTGGGATTTGTAGTTTGACAAAGCACCAGCACTCTTTGGCAAAGAAGGCTAAAGATCTTGTAAAACTAAAACTCCCATAATTGAGCCATGTAGTTAAAGTGGTGTCAAACTGCATTAATTCTGCTGTGTAGATGCAGACTGGAACACAAGCAATAAACTCAAAGTGCAGGAAAAGAAATTCCACTTAAAAGTAGGAAGAACTTCCTGACAGTAAGCGTTGTTTGACAGTGGTATATGCAGCCTCAAAGTGTGGTAGTGTCTTTATGGAGATTTAAAAAAAAAAAAAACAAGTTTGGGTGGCCATTTGATGGGAGTGCTTTGATTGGGTATTCTTGTATGGCATAGGTTGGACTGGATGGCCCTTGTGGCCTCTTCCAACTCTGATTCTATACTCATGAATAACTTCAAGGATAGTTCTAACTAATAATATCTTACATGATGAAAGGATGGTTTCTGCACAGTGTAAGAACATTCAATATAAGTCTGTATAGACAGAGTATAAAACTGGAGCTCTAATCTATGGTAAAGATTCAAAATATATGTAAAATGCAGCTCTGCATAAATCAACTGTGGGGGGGGGGGGCGGTCCAGCAGAACTGAAAAGTTCCATTAAATTCAGTGATCATCATCACTTCTGTATAGATGCCCACAAAATTGTACAATAATGTTTCACCTGATTTCAAAAAGGAATGTATTGTCAAAGGCTTTCACAACCAGAATCACTGAAGTGTTGTGTGGTTTCTGGGCTGTATGGCTGTGTTCTAGCAGCAAGAGAAAATGCTGTTAGAACACGGCCATACAGCCCCAGAAACCACACAACACTTCAGAAAGTAATGCTTGCTAGTCTAATGTAAAAAAATGGACAAAACACAAAACAACTAAAGCCTTTCTTACCATGCCATATTCTTCCAAAGATGTCCCAGAGGTATGCCAGAATTATATAACATACGGCATCATATTTTCCCTTTAATCTAAGGGTCTTCTCGTAGATCAAAACCACAAAAGCAGAGAGATAGACATAGAAAAGGACCCAGAGAACACCTGCAACTGATGCCAGAAATAGCCATCTGAATCCTAAGAGAAAATATTCCATCAGATGTGTTGTTCCCATCCATTCTTCAAATATGTGTGATATGTTTGCAGAGGAAGTCATAGATACCTCTCCAGTGTTACTGAATGTGCCTGTCTTTAGTCCCTGCAACCAAAAAGAAAATAACATTAGTTATACCATTAGCTTGGAAAACAAATCCATCTTTACATATATTCAAATGTCAGAGGCATAACAGAACTACTGTGGTGCTACAGAAGCCTGACTTAGCCACAGTGGTCCATGCCTTAGTTACATCCAGCCTGGTTCACTGCAATGCACTCTACATGGGGCTACCTTTGAAGACAGCCCAGAAATTGCAACTGGTGCAAAGGTCAGTGACCAGATTGCTAACTGGAACTAATTATAGGAAGTGGATGATTCCCCTATTAAAACAGCTCCACTGGTTGCCAATATGTTTCTGGTCCAAGTTCAAAGTGCAGGTTCTTAAGCTCTAAATGGTTTGAGTCCTGTCTGTATTTTCCCCTATGAACCGGCACAGACCCTAAGACCCTCTTGCTCCTGCCACCATCTCAAGCACGGTTGGTAGGGAAGAGAGAGAGGACCTTCTCTGTGGTGTCCTCCCGACTCTGGAACTCCCTCCCTAGGGAGATTAGACTAGCACCCACTCTATCCATCTTCTGCCAGGACCTCAAAACCTGGATGTTCCAATGCGCATTTGATAATGATTAGGCCCCTGTCTATGAATGCCCAGCCCAAACTGATCATTACAGTGAACTCGGCGTTTTACCCCAGTCCTGGCCCTATAATTTGCTGTTTGCACAAGCCCACACCCAGCCCTCTCCAATTTCTGATCTTTCCCATCTTATCCCTGGCTCTGGTTATTGAGATTTGTTTAGATTCATTTTAATGGTTGCCTTTATATTTTGATGTTTTTAATTGTTTTAATCAGATTGTTATATATGTATTATATTTCTAAATGTGTTTTTAGTTTGTCAACCTTTTTGTGTCGGGCTTGTTCCCACTTGTAAGCCTCCCTGAGTCCCTTCGGGGAGATGGTGGCAGGATATAAAAATAAAGCTGTTGTTATTATTATTATTATTATTATTATTATTATTATTATTATTATTATTATTATTATTATACAGAGGTATCCTAAAATGTCAAAGTCATGCCCTTCACAATGCTTCTTATTTCTATCATGCACTTTTAATAATAACAACAATAATAAACTTTATTTGTATACCACCCTATCTCCCCACAAGGACTCAGGATGGTTTCCATCATATAAGGCAAAACATTCAATTGCCAGAAAGACAATTACAATTGCCATACAGACAATTACATCAAAATAAACACATTGCATAATATAACAAACCTAATTAAACTTAATAGACAAAGTAACAACAACCAAACATCATAAAATACAAAAGATTCTGCTAAAACAAATTAAAGATAAAAATATTAAGAACCCATTTCATTGTAGCTCTTTGTTTCTCTGAACAGGGTTATCTGGGGAAAGTATTGATAAACTGGAAAGCATTTAAGATCTCAAACTGTGCAGAGAGGAGGTTTAATCTTTCCTTTCCCCACATGCAGCATCAAGGATAGGAAGAGGCAGTCTCATAACTTTGGATATTTCTCTCTGTGTGTGTGTTTGAAGTAAGGGTAAAGCTGTGGTGTGGGAATGGAGATGCATACTGGTTTGCTATCTCTGGTCCTATCTACTACTTCCTTTGCCATTGTCTTTGCCCACCAGCTCACTACCTATATCTGCATGCTGAACTCAGAAGCAAAACTATTGCCTTCCCCTCACGTAGGAATCAGGTCCATAATTCCCATTTATGTTAGAAATGCAGTCTTATGTAACTTATATAAAGTTTTTCATTCAACTACAAGCAGCATTATCTTTTTTTAAAAAAAATTGATAAGACAGGATGGAAAACAGTGTTCACAGATTAAAAGACAACTTTCAGTGGCTGAGGGTTTGTATTGGCCATCCATGAGGTCACTCACTCCATTGCATCCATTTTAAAACAAACTTGCTGGAACCCAAAATGTTATGTTTTTATCCTCCAGAATAATTTTATGCCCAGGAAAGGGTTTTTTTTAGAAATAAGATTTCAACCAGTCCACTTCACTTTTTAAAATATCATCTCTCCTGGTTCTTCAAATGGGGATGCTATATGCATGTCACTGTCCATGATTTTCTCACCCTGTTATAGCCTACCATATATACTCGAGTATAAGCCAAGTTTTTCAGTCCCTTTTTTAAGGCAGAAAAAGCCCCCCACAGCATATACTCGAGTCAAAGTTATTTATTGTTTTACTCTATTTAGTATTATTATTATTATTACATTTATATTATTTTACTCTGTTATTATTTTTGTTACATTTATTATTTTACTCTATTTAATATTATTATTATTACATTTATATTAATTTACTCTATTATTTTATTACATTTATTATTTTACTATATTTATTATTATTATACTCTATTATTAGTGTTATTATTATATATTTATTTTACTCTAGTATTATTATTATATTTATTATTTGACTATTATTACTGTTATTGCATTTCCATTATTTCACTCTATAATTATTTTTATTACATTTATTATTATACTCTAATAATTTTTGGAAGAATATATAAGCACATTTACATTGAAGAAGATTAGAATAATAGTTAAACAGAGTTGGACAATCTTATCTTAAATCAGAGTTTGATGTAAATATTCAAAAATATTCAAAAACATTTAACCTTCTGATGGAATGTTATTGGTATCTATTTTTATTTTGAAATTTACCAGTTGCTGCTGCATTTCCCACCTTTGGCTTATACTTGAGTTAATACATTTTCCCAGTTTTTGTGGCAAAATTAGGTGCCTTGGCTAATATTCGGATCGGTTTATACTTGAGCATATAATGGTAAATTTATATTTTAACTTAGTTCCATGGGAGAAAGTTAAATTGGCTCAATTCTCTCTCATTATTCTGTATAAAATACACTTACATAATGCTGTGTTTTCAATTTGATCTAGAAGCAAATTGAGTTCAGACAAGTTGACTCTTCAACATTTTAAAAATGTATTCATGTATCCTGGAAGCCCTAATCTATTTACAGCAAATAAAATTAAGTTTATGCTTGTTTGTATATTTTACCACATCCAGTGAAAGTGCCTGGACAGATTTTCCTGAATGTTTTGGGAAGGTCAGACTCAAGTCTAAGGTATGTGATGTATGTGATATTGTACGTGGTTAGACCCCCAAAAATTCCCCATTGATATAGTGTAGTTGGACAATAACTACTTGTAGGAAAATAAGGGATAATTTGATAGATGACAACATTAGCTTTTGACACGAAATAAACAGAGAATTTCCCTTTCCAGACAGCCTCATAATCTGGGACAAATAAGTGGGGCAAAAAATCGTGGCATCTGACAGGAAATTCAAACATAAATATATCAGTCCCAATAAATGTTCCCACAGCGTCCTGACATGTTCGCTTGTCGCAGATTTTAAAAATCCTGAAGATGGACAGGGGACTTTTCACTTTTTTTTTTAAATTGTCTCCCCAAAGTATGCTGGATCTCAGAAGTGCTGATATGGGTATCTGAATGTGCACACAAGTAGATTCCTTGTCATTATCTCTCCTCATCCGCCTTCTGTCTTTATTTTTTTTTCCCCCCATTGGACCCCGTTTCCCTTTGTGGTCACTTGCCTGCCTTGCTGGTGCCCTCTATGTAAATTCAAGTTCTTTTAAATTTCATAAACATGAGAACAAAGGAATGCTTGCAGAGACTTCTCATGGGAATTGTTTTCCAATTGTGCTTCTATTTAGCCACCTGTATGTCCATGGCTCCACTTATTTACAGTTATTTTGGGATTTTAACATGCGTACATGTAATGGAACAGACCACACCAGTGTATAGCAATGAAGTCACATGTTTTCCTTGAGTGCTGGAATATACAGTCATGTGAATGTGCACATTTTCCAGCTGAAATCAGAGTTTAAATGTGCTTCAGTTTCATTTAGCCAGCCACCCTCCTTTTATCCCAATTTCTTCCACATTTTAGGGCCTGTGCAGAGGGGCCTTCAGTCAATATTTTTGAGTGCAATTTCAGCATAAAAACCTTCAAAATTGTGTTCATTGGACTTCATTTGCAATATTGAATATATGTTCAGCATGTATAGAAGCAGCTATAAGTTTCAGTCACATCTAGAAAACATTGTTTGCACACCTTTATTGAAACCATAGAATAAGTTTTTAGAATGAGTATTTCAGAATCTGCCTATTCTCTCACCTGGAATTTATTGCTAAAGAAATAGCATGCTCTAGGTATCCAAGATGTAATTCCAGTCTCATAATTGTCTGTAGTCCACAGGTGCTGATTGTTGTTCTTCCATAATTTACATCACCACTATTAGGGCAGTACCATCCATTGTACTTCCAATGTTTGATATAATGTGATAGTGTTGTTGCAGCTTAATTGAGTAACAGTTTTGCAGGATTGAACTGGAATGAACTCTTACATTATCCCAACATTTTGGAGCAATGTTCCTAGAACTCCTTGGCAAGTATTAAGAAATGACATAAAACAGGGATAAAAATACATGTGGTGAATTGTTCCTCAGATCTGTGAAGACCAATACCTGAAGAACACTGAGAAGTCAAAGGAGTCACTTTTTGCATTAAATAAATCAGGTAGAATTATTGTCTTCTCATAAAGTGATCATAAAATTTTAGATACTAGAAGCATTTATTTTGTATTAAAGGATCCTAAATTTTGCATTTTATGTCATTGTATGTCTATGGATGCAGTGGAATAGTATTACGACAACAGTGGCCTGGTGGGTGCAAAATGTTTGACTAAATCCAATAATATTCTAAATTAGAAGAAACTGGCTGAAATAAATGGTAACTAAGTAGTCTCACCCGTTTAAAATGATCTACTACTGTATTTGGGACTAACACTGGAATTATCCATTTTAAACATACAATCTTTTTAACATTTTATGTATAGAATTTCTTCCATGTATAGCATTTGCATAACTCCAGAAGCAAGATCACAAGTTCCATAGGCCACATGCTTCTGATTATTTTGTAATTATAATTTTTTTCCAAATAGCTTTTGTTTTTAAAATGCAAAACTACAAATGTATGCTCAGAAAGGCTCCTGTTAGCAGTTCAGTCACAGGAGAATTGTGTTGAGAAATGTTGAGAATTGTAATCTACCCTTCATAATTGTAACATCTCAAAGATTTATGGGACTAGTTATGATAAAGTAGCTTGTTTATTGCACACATACACACACTGTCCAGGCATTTCCCTGGACATGCAGATGTATAGGGGCAAAGATGTAGGTCTGTAGATATGAATATGCAAGCCCTACTCCAAAGTTCTCTATTCCTATATGGACACTACAAGGATTTCTAGCTGTCTCAAATCTTGAAAGTGCCATCTGAGAAACCTATTTCAGATCACATTGTTGTTCATAGAATCTCACTGAATGTTATTAAATGTACACAAAAGGGAGCTACATGTAGAAGCAAGACTTCAATTGGCCGGCCGGCCTCCATCCCACCCAACAAATTTATAGCCTTTCCTTGTTTAGGTATCTACCCTGATTTATTTAGTGAATGATTCCCAAACCTAACCTGATAGAAAAGGATCAAGTGCTCGGGAGAAGGGGGATAAAGCCAATGCCTCTTCATCTGCTGCTATTCAAACAGATAATCTGTGGATCACTGCCAGCTCATAAAATGTCAGTTCAAAGTAAGTTTCCAGAAATCTATGCAAATGTAAACAATTTTGGACTGATATGATATACTATCAATCTCTTGCACAATGGGGGGGAAAGTTGCTAGTCTGCCAGATCAGATAATTTCAGAATCTCTCTCATAACCTTTTGAACAACTGTTCATTGTACTTGTGTTTCTAATTTCTACAGATGGAGGTGAAGGGGAAAGAAGAGGAAGACCAGCAGCCCTGTTTCAATGATTACTTGTGACTTCATCAGATGTGATGCTGCCGGGATAGAGTCTGACGGATCCTATCATATGACGCATGGCTACTTCTGGTGGGTCTCCATTGAGCTCCGTCCTGGCAGCAGGCCAGCAGCATGCTAAGAGGGAACCCTGAGGATATGGGTGACTACTCATATTCTCACTGAAGAAGCTGGGAACAGCACAGGAGGAAGCAAGGGACAGATGGAAAATGTCATAGGAAGGCAGCCCATGGCCAACCATGGTAAGAGGATGAAGCTGGACACTGCCCCCTGATTTTCCCCACTGTATCCCACTTGTCCTTTGACTTCTGGACCTCAATGTGCTGAGGTCCTTGGTGGGTGCAGGGATGTGGAAGAAACAGCTGATCTGGGTTGTTGTAGGTTTTTTCGGTCTATATGGCCATGTTCTAGAACAGCTGATCTGCAGAAACTCAGTGCTGCACCTGGGCGCCATTTCGAATGCAGCATGAAATGGACACAACCTCGGTTTTATGGCCTTGAGAACCTAACACTAGAATGAGCTAGGGAGATGTAGTTATGCATATCAATACCCTTTGAATGACCCGAATCCTAGGTGTTCTCACTAAGGTTAGATCCACTGAACCAATGGGATATCAGTGACTGACCATGTAATAATTACTTTAGAGGAGGTATACTTGGATGGGCACAAGTGACAGGATTAAGCAAAGCCTACCCATTGCTTCCATAGGTCGTATGCAAAACACAAGAGTGGAGAATTCCTTTAGAATCCTGTGGAATGCAGGTGAAATGCTAGATAGATAGATAGATAGATAGATAGATAGATAGATAGATAGATAGATAATAGAAGGCAGAGATATAGAGAGATATTCCTGAGTCAATATTTTAAGCAGGAATTGCAGCTCTATTTATTATTATTTTAAAAAATTAAAACATTTATATTCCGCCCTTCTCACCCTGCAGGGGACTCAGGGCAGATCACAACATATGCACGACAAACATTCAATGCTGGGACATAAAACCATAAATATATACAAACATTAAAATCACTTATATTCACATTAAAAGTTGCTTAAAAACCATCTCAGAACACCATTTGCCTCATTGCACTGCCCCAAAGGCTTGGTCCCACAGCCAGGGAGGAGACTGATATAATATTGTCAGGAAGGGAGTTAACCAGGGGGGCAATCACTGAAAAGGCCCTGTCTCTCATTCCCACCAAACACGCCTGTGATGGTGGCGGGACCGAGAGCAGGCCTCCCCAGAAGATCTTAGTTTCCATCGTGAGCTACTGATTGTTTTCCCATCAATGAAACAAGGAATTCCACAAATGCAAGGCATCTACCAGACAGAAGTGACCTCATGTGATAAGTACTAACCAAACACACTATTATGTTGTTACAATTTCTTAGAGAGCTGGCATGACGTAGTGGTTTATGTTTTAGACTCTGAAAACCAGGATTTGATTCCCTGTTCCCCTATGAAAATCCACTGAGTGGCCCTGAGTAAGTCATCACCTCTCAGCTTCTTCTGAACTAATCTTTCCAAGAAAATTCCAGGATACATCTACCTTAGGGTGGACATATATCATAAACAACTTGAAGACACAAAATATTAGCAGCAGAAGCAACCATCATTTTTAACACGAGAAACAACAAGCATTATTCTACCTTTAACTTTGGAGTTTCCCACCTAAATGGCATGGCATATTCTGCCATTCTTCCAAAGGATCAACTCAAAAGAGAACAAATAATTCCTGTTCTATTTCTGTACATTTCCCCACACTGCTTTCCCTTCTCCCTTTAAGCCTTTGTGTGGCCTAATCACATTTTTTCAATAGTATTTCATTTCATGCATCTAAAAGTAATTTTAAAAATCGAACAAACAAAAATGGAATAGTATAATAGAATGATAAATTTGGTAGGAGTTCCATATGCTATCAAGTTCCAACTTCTCACTCAGTGTAGATTGCTGTGCAGCCTCTTTTTCAAGCCATCCAGAGATAGAAGCCCCACCATTTATTACTGTCGAATAATTCCTTCTAGTATTCTATTAAAATCTACTCTCTTGTAACTTAAAATTGTTAGACCTGGTCCTATCTTCTGGGGCAACAGAAATCAAACCTGCACCCTCCTATACATGACTGCCCTTTAGAGATTTAAAGTGGATCATCATGTAATGAACATGACCAACTTCTTCAACTGTTCCTCATATCTTTTGATCTCCATACTCATACTTCATGTTGCTGTTCCCTGGACCTGTCCTGACGTGTCTGTATTGTTAAAATGAGACACCAAGAAATGTATACAGAACTCCAGTTGAGGCTTGGCTAATACAGAATAAATAAAGGCTAAAATATTACTTGCAATGATTCCGTAAATCTGTTTTAATCTGCACAGTATTAACAGCATTCTGAATGACTATATAAAATAGAATACATAAACTACCCAGTTTCCATTTTAAAAAAGTCAAGTCTTATTGGGAGCAATTCCCACTAAATAGATACTGGATAGGATTTGTCCCTAAGGATTTCAGTGATCGAATCACAAGCTTCCAAAGGTATTTAGTATGCTTATTGCTTTTAATAATGCTACCTTAAAAAGAAACAGGATTACAATCCCTCAAAACAAGAGTTTAAAAGAATTACCAGATATCAAAGCAGATAAGTGTTATGTCTCTTCTTTCTCACTGTCTTTCCAGCTGAATTTATAGGGTTTTCCCCCCTTGGGGTTGCAGAGAAGGTGTCTGTCTGTGCTTCTTTTGCCTAGGTGTCCAATGATGCTGTGATTCTACTGACTGCAGACTGACAGCTAAATGCTGAAATAGGAGGTGTCTTTTCTAATTAATTCTCCAGGGTTACATTGCTACATTTACATGACCATACATATTTATATGTAATCCTACAATTAGCAATCTGTCATCTTCAAAAGACTTTGTGGAATGTGGCTACCTTCATTCCATTCAGATGCAGGTTCACAATATTTCAAGAATTCTGTGTTGGTGTTGTTTTAAATCCTGGACAACATGTACATGAAATATTGGGAAAGAGAAATCTGAAATATCACAGCTCATCAAACCCAAAGAAAAGGAGCAAATCCTTTATCTTTAGCTTCAGATTAATTTGATTTGAAAAACACTTTTGGTTTTAATGTTGCCTGATTCTATGTGCATTGATAATAACAAGTGGCACTTAATCCAGTTATTGCACATTTGGGTTAGTTCAGTAGTGTACACTGTAATGAACTGTCCTACCTTGCAGGACCAGTGTTAGCTCTGTAAAGACCCAACAGCTAGGCATCCATTTTGGTGGAGGAGGATTTAATCTGGTTAAATCCTTTATATACCCCATGAGAGGTAGGTTATAAAACAATCAGATAAACAGTTCATTATTGGCTTCACCTTATTCATAACTAGAGTATTTGATCTTTCCTCTATATTATCAAGTGTCATCCAAATGTGCAGATAACATTAAATGACTGAATATGATGAAAAGTTGAATATGAGCGTTATCCGGAAAGCAAAGTTACAAGGCTCATAACTCTCATGGAGAATTTTCACAGGGGAAGTTGGTATCACTGCTGTGTAGCAGGAAGCCAGCAGGAGCAAATGAGCAGTGCCAGTCGTCAGGAGCTCATCGACTGACATTGCGGTGAAGGTTAGAAATGAGCATCCTTATTCTGTTTCCCTTCTGTCTGCCTCCTTCATGACAATGAGCACCCACATACTGCTCATACAACACAAGAGTTGTTGACTTCATTTGGTTGGGATGTTTTAAGCCACCCCTCTCACAGCCCCGATCTTATGCCCACTAAATTGAAGGAACACCTGGGTGGAAAACACTTTTCCGATGACAAGGTGAAAATTGAAGTGACGAACTGGGTAAAAGGCTGTGGGAAACTTCTTTGACACAGGCATCAAAAAACCCATTACACAGATGACAAAGTGTATTGAACAGAATGGTGATTATGTGGAAACATAATGTAATACCTATGCTATAATCCATGTAAGTTTTATTAAAATATATTCATTCTTTTTATTTTTAAAAAATCTTGTAACCTTACTTTCTGGATATCCCTCATAGATATTAAAGAGTTCCAAAGGGTTCTTAATTAATTGAGTAAGTGCCAATGAAGTTTATTATTGTTCTTAATGCTTGCATTTTATCCTTCTCCTAGAGAACTTTGGGTGGCCTATATGGTTGTTGCAATTCATTTTTGCTGCTCAATCCCTGCAAATGCAGAGGCCGCACACATGGATGGGTTAACTAAAGGCAACTTTATTCATTGTTACCTAATTAATATCTATAATTCTTCCCACCATGTGTTCCTGAAAGCCTAATGAGCATGAACTTGAGCATGAACTTGGCATTGAACTTGGTATTGAACTTGGTGAGGGTAATTATGTTCCCAGAATTATTAATGCCATATTACCAGCTCCTAGGCCATTTGCTTTCCCCCTCTCCTCTTTTGTTTACCACATAGAGGAAGGTTACAGCTCCTGGCCTACACCAAATGGGCACCTTGGTTGTGCACCAAATTCAATTCCCTTGCTGTTTCTGCCACAGATTGAGGCAAGTGTCTGCTTTGTCCCTATCCCCCCGACAAGATCCCTAATACCTTCAGGAAAATGAATCTTCTCATTCCCATCATACTCTGACTGTCAAGGCCACCAGGCACCAGGAATCATTTGTGACTCTAAGCTGTGGGTCTGTGGCCACACCTTGTTGATCTCATACACATCAACCCCTGGTGGAATAAACAAAACTTTGCTTTAATACAGGCTCAAATCCCTTTCCTCTGAGGTGGACAAACAGAACCTCAGGTGGAACACCTCTCATGTAACCACCAGGCCATCTGCACTGAAGAACTTCATTTCTGGTCACATAAAATGGGTCTGAGGCCATGGTCGAAACAATCATTGGGTGGAACACATCTCTGGGAACTTTCATCACCACCAGGCCACCTGCACCAAGGGATGCCTCTCAGATCTTTCCCAACTTGGCCTGCCCAGCCACTTGCACCAAGGAATCATAGCTGACCATGCTGTGCAGGTAGAACTTTGTTCCTGGTCACACAAAACGGGTCTTAGGCCATGGTCAAACAAAACATTGGGCAGAATGCCTCTTTGGAAATTCTCATCACCACCAGGCCACTTGCACCGAGGGATGCCTCTCGGAACTTGCCCAACTTGGCCTGCCAGGCTGCTTGCACTAACAAATTTGCCTTTAAGCAGGCTCATATCATCTCCACCCTGGTGGATAACCGGCACCTCAGGCAGAACCTCACCCCGGGACTCGCCAATAACATTGGGAAGTCCAGCACTCCCAGGAATGCACAGCAGGGGAAGCAGCAGTCTCAACAAAGTCCTCCTCTGCCGCTCAGCATGGTCATGGAAGTGAGGCCCAGGTGTTGAAATGCCCATCCTGCTGCTTGCGCTGACCAAATTCCATTTGGAAAGATAACATAACGGCATGATTAATTTCCTCAAGGCAATCACAATAGCGGTAGGTCCTGTACGAATTTGACTTACTCACATGATCTCCCCTTGTTTGCAAATACACGGTGTAATCCTGCTGTCCCTGAGCCTTCAACCATAGTAAAATCACCTATAACTTAGCTTAATGATTTGTGGGCCACACCACTCCTTCCATCCCGGTTTTGATGTAAGCTGCTCTGGACCTGTTGCCCCACTAATTTAACATCTCTCCCTGGTATATGAAAGGCCTTAGACCATGAATCCATACGCCCTTCCCTTTCTCAACTCCTTTGGCCTAAGCCTCCTAGCGATCCTGCTGCGGTGATTTCTATACTGCCTCCGAGTTGTGTAGGCTTGTTGTGTGGTGATCTAGAACATTAATGATTCCACTGTATTGCTAGATAATTCCACTATATTGTTAGGTAAATTCCTAGTAAAATGGAATTGTTGCTGGTAAATCCCTCGATCACATCTCAACGTTTTCTAACTTAATTAGGCTGGGGCCTGTTTTGTTTTGTATTATTATTATTAGTTATTACCCAAAACTGTCAAAATGGATTTGCCCCAGTAAATTTCCTGGCCGAAATCTGCTGCTTTCGCGGGAATATTTCCCCTGGAATGAGTGCCCTCGATGAAAGGAACATCATTGTGACTGTTGGGAGGCTCGTTGATGAAATGAGTGGTCACCTCTGTTGTATAGTATGGCCACTAGCAGCCCTGTCCCCAAAGGTTGTAAATTAGATCCCACCTCCACAGCAGGGAAGAGAAAACAAAGTCCCTGGCAGGGAGAAGACAACAGCAAGGAAGGAGGGGATTTCCCCCAAAAGTAAATGGAAGGAGCCAAAGGCTCCCGGTGCAGCTAGAGGAGGGAGCCACAAGCCCCCTTGGAGCATACTTACTGACCTAACCAGGGGACGTCCACCTTCCTCACCAGTCAGATGCAGACTGAAGAGGAGGGCGGGTTGCTTGTCCTGGCTCTGCCCTCCCTAAAAGTAGTCCCATTGAGACTACTTTCATTCCGCCTCTTCTGTGGTGGAGGCAGCAAATCCCTCCCCAACCCCAGCTTTGCTGGAGCTGGAAAGGCCCTTCTCTTCCCATCAACTTTTTGCAAAATTAGGCCAAAAGAGCACAACTTGTCCAAGCAAGCTTCTTGGAGGTTAACACAAGATGTCTTCTGTGAGTTGATGAAGTTCACCAATTGAACTTCACTTTATGAATCTTATTATTATTTTTAAAAAACCTTATTAATCTAAGTAAAAACAAATACAGGCTGAGTATCCCTTGCCCAAAATACTTAGGACCAGACGTATTTTGGATTTCCAATTTTTATAGATTTTGAAATACATATAGTTACATATATGTAAATAATGAGATATCATAGAGATGTCTAAACACAAAATTCATTTAAATTTCATGCATACCTCATACAGATGAAGATAATTTTATATAATATTCTTTAAATAATCTTGAGCTTCTGGCTTTAAAGCTCTGGTGTGACAATGTGATATATCAGTTTTACATGCTTTAAACATGGTTGTGGTCAATATATTGAACTAATGCAATAAAAATTGCTATTTAGTCGAAAGTCTTTCTCAACCCTTCTTTGAGATGTCAAATAAATCCTTAGCCTTCTATTTTGCAATCTTAAACAGAGAATTTATTTGGCATTAACTCTATCAAAAAATTGCATCTACTGTGGAGAAGGCCTTTGATAACATAAATTGGAATTTCATTATGCTACTTCTGCAAGAAATAGATATTGGACACTACTTCATGAATGCTATAAAATCAATATACGATAAATAAGAAGTCAAGGTCACAATCAATGGACAGGCAACGGAAAGTCTTCAAATACTAAAAGGAACAAGACAAGGATGCCTCCTCTCCCCACTGCTATTTAGAATGTCATTGGAAGTACTTCTGAATAATATTAGAGAAGTCAAAAATTTAATGGGCACCCGAATAAGAAAACCATAAAAGCTCCATGCTTTCACAGATTATATAGTCTGCATAATTGAAAACCCTCTTGAAAGTATTGGTAACTGGTTGGGAAAGATAGAGGAATTTGGTAAATTAACAGGTTTTATAATAAAGAAAGAAAGAGACAATGATTCTGACTAAAAATATCTCCAAATTAAGACAGAAAGAGCTAGAAGAATCTACTGGAATACAAGTGACAACTAAAATTAAATATTTAGATATCTACATAAAGGTGAAGAATGCACAACTACTTAAAAATAATTACAAAATTAAATGGAAAAAATCAAGAAAGAATTAGAGAATTAGAAACATCTGAATGTATTACTTTTGAGAAGGATTTCAGCCATAAAAATGAATGTATTACCCAAACTATTATTTTTAT